TATATATATATATATATATATAAGTATTTATTTATTTTTTTTAAGTTGAACGTTTTTATATTTTTAATAATCCTAAATAATGCTAAATGATTTGATGTAAATGGAATTACTAAATTATTAAATGTAAATGAAATTATTATTCAAAAGCGTCATTACTTGTGTTGCATACAGGATTTCAAGTTTCAGTTCTAATTAATGTAATTTATAATTAATGTACTTAAATTGTTGAATCAAAAATATTATTTTAATTAATAATTGATCTTTATTTCCTGTTGCACTTTAATTTACATATATGCATGTGTTCTTAAATGAAAATGTAATCATTTACTCACCTTCCACTTGTTCCAAACCTGCATGAGTTTCTATTGAACACAAAAGAAGTTATTTTTAAGAATGTTGGTAACTGAACAGTTGACAGTAGCCATTGACTTCCGTAGTATTTATTTTTTTTTCCATATTATTGAAGTTAATGGCTACTGTCAACTTGAGTAAATTATGACAGAATTTTCATTTTTTTTAGGGTGAACTTTCCCTTTAAGTGTATTTGAAGTGAAGCAAGCAAGCAACATTTTAATCACTTTCTGGCAGTTAGGATGTGCAGAATGAAAATGTTTGCATTATAAGAATAGAAATGTGTTTTTTGTTGTTTTACAGCACAAATATCTATGATGTCTTTGTTTACAGGAGTTCCGTCGTGATGGAAACGATCTGCACTTGTGCCACAGGATTGGTCTGGTGGAGGCGCTGTGCGGATTTCAGTTCATGCTCGCGCACCTCGACGGCCGACACCTCGTCATCAAATATCCCCCTGGCAAAGTCATAGAGCCAGGTGAGCACCATGGTTTGTCAATGTTTTGTTCATGTGTTTGTAGAATATGCTGTAGGAAATGTTGTTGTGTTCTCGTTGTCAGGTTCTACAAGGGTCATCCGAGGGGAAGGAATGCCTCAGTACAGAAACCCGTTTGAGAAAGGGGATCTGTACATCAAGTTTGACGTCCAGTTTCCTGAGAACGGCTGGATCAGCACGGAGAAACTAACGGTGAGTTTTCAACAGTGCTGTTATTGTTAACTAAAATCATTAAAAATGTTCTAAATAAAGCTTAAATAAAATATAAATATTAGATCAGATGTTTTTTAAGTTTGAGTACTAAAATTACTAAAACCAAAACTGATTAAAACCTAAATAGAAATATTTAAAAACTATTTAAGACATAACAGATTTACTAAAATTAAATTAAAGGGGTCATATGATGCTGCTAAAAAGAACATTATTTTGTGTATTTGGTGTAATGAAATGTTTATGCGGTTTAAAGTTCAAAAAACACTTTTCCACATACTGTACATTATTGTTTCTCCTCTATGCTCCGCCTTTCTGAAACGTGTCGATTTTTACAAAGCTCATCGGTCTAAAAATTGTGCTGTTCTGTTGTAAATAAATCTTAACCAATGATTCCTAATTGCATCTACTTCCGGAAGGCCAAATAAAGTGCTTTTGCTTTCGCACTGAAACAGACAGCGTCTCCTTGACATGGCTGCATCAACACTACTGCTGTTTCTGAAACCACGCCTTCTTTCTTTGCGTGCATATTTGGGCTGCATTATGCTAATATTTCCACATAGTGACGTAGACATGTGGGGGCATGTTAGAACGAGGCGTTTTAGGTAGGCGTGGTTGACTCTTAACTTTTATAAAGAATATCTCTTTGGATTTGAGACTTTAGTCTTTGCAACTTTACAGATCTTCTTTATGCACCAAGAGCTTGTAACACTCCAAAGAGAAAGGAAAAATTGAAACCGCATCATATGACGAAAATACAAAAATAAAAGCTAATTCAAAATATTAATAGTAGTTAATAGAATGTAAATGATTTATAAACAATAGTTCATGAAAATGCTGAAAAACACTGGTTTTCAAAGTATACAAATATTGGGTAAAATTGTACGTTTTTATCTTAGGAGTTTGTTTATTCGTCTTTGCATCAGTAGCGTGCCTATGATGCCTTAAAATGCTTTCTAAAGTAGCTTATTAGGTCTTGGAGCTATTTTCTTGTTATTATAAGTTGACTAAAACCTTTTTTTTTATCTTATTGCCTAGGAAATATTTTTCAGTTTTATTTAATTTAACTTGATGTAATAAAAAAAATAAAAACTGTATGGACACACAAAAAAAACAAACAAAACCAAATAAAAGTGGGGGGAAAACAACAACATTAATGACAAACTTTAACTGAAATAAAAATGAAAACTCATACAAACTATTAATAAAAACTACAATGGTACCTATATGATAGTAAAATATCGCTGGAGTGTACCTGAAGAGATGCAGACTTTGGTTGAGTTGCCCTGTTTCTCGTGTGTGTCTGCTCACGCAGGAGTTGGAGGATCTGTTGCCGTCGCGTACAGAGGTTCCTGTCATCTCATCTGATGCGGAGGAAGTTGATCTGCAGGACTTTGACATCAGTCAGGGATCGTCTGGTGGTCACCGCCGTGAAGCGTATAACGACAGCTCCGACGAGGAAGGTGGTCCGCATGGTCCGGGGGTGCAGTGTGCCCACCAATAGTCCCAGAATTCTTTGCAAGTTTTTTGGGGGAAGTATTACGATTCCCTTTTGTCGGACAGATTCAATCCCCGCCCTCCACATTCTTCATATAGTGAACCAAACACACACACTTGCAGTATATATAGACATACACTTAGACTTATTTACTGCAATCTTACTTACAAGTACACTCATTCATGCACTGTTTTAAAAGAAAAGACAAGCATAACTAAAGGCAAAGCAAAATAATTTATCCATCACTACTTCATTTCCATTGTAGACTTTCACAGTATATATGCTCTCTGAATATATAAAATTCAATGTCTGTGGGGAGACAGACTGTGTTGTTTAAGTTATAATTAACACGCACGCACGCACATTTGTTAAAGACTGAGGCATTGTGGAGTTTCCTGGAGTTCAATAAAATGTTCAGACGTGTTTCATTATATACTTGCCAGTTATTCAGGCACTGTCAGTCATCTTTTACTGGTTTATATTCAATGGCAGGACAGAATAGCATGCATGTGGGCGACACACTCTCTACTGAGATGAATATGAAACAAACCAAACCCAGAAGTGTTTTAATGTGCTTTCTGTCTATGATAAAGGTATACGAGTCATGCAACTTCTTATTTGCCAAAGAAACACCACAGTCTTCTTAAAAGATCAGCAGCCAATGTGTGCATGCATTGTAAGCACTATTATAAACCTGTAGGGGGAGGCATTCATCATTGGCAATTAGGAAAGTGTTTGAACCGTGAATACAAGTTGCTGTCGTTCAAACAGTTACTTTTGTGCTCATACATCAATAAAGTGGATGAATGTTTTGACTGTGTGCTGTATGTTTGTAGAAATGGGTTTGAGTACCCACTAGTGTCCTTCTTCAGTTTCTGTCGTGCGTTGAGCTGTGGGTGCAAGGAGCTCTTTAAATCCAGCTGTGTTTCTAGAAAAACAAAATGTTGCTAGATTAGGGCAACTTTCTTTTTTTTTCTAAAAAGACCCTCATTTAGTTTAAAACTCAGGATTTTCTTTCTTCATAAATGGAGAAATTTAGCAGATTGTTGATGCTGCCCTTTTTCAATCACCGCAGGTTGTTTCGAATGGAAGCCTATTTCTGTCATGTTAGAAAAAAATGGTGCTTTGGTAAATCAAATTATGACATACAAGGTACCAAGTCATAATTATGAGAAAATTAATTCCGACATGAAAAAAAATCTTAAAAATGATTTTTGGACATTTCGACTTGACTTGACTTTTTACTATGACTATGACTTTTTATCTCATAATTCCGACTTTTTATCTCAGTTATGACAGGTCATCATATTGACAGTTTATCTTATAAATATAAGTTAGTATGTCAATGTCCACTTTTTATCTCATAATTTTAACTCTCGCTTTTGACTTAATTTTCAACATAATTATGAGATAAGTTGACATGCAAAAATCTAAATTATTTGTCAACTTAAACTTTTATCATAATTTTGACTTAAAGCATGCTTTTTTTATGCGGCAAAAATGGGTTTCCATAGGTTTCAAGCACCAAAATGAGCACAAAAAAAAAAAAATGGGGCATCAGGATAAGTAAATGATGACCCTTTTCATTTTAGGGTGAAGTACTCCTTTAAGTGACATGAAACGCATATTGATCACTGTCAGACTGAAGTAGTCTAGCATTAGTATGTATATGTTACCTCTCCCGTCTGGTCTGGAGAATGCAGGAGCGTTCTCTCCTCATCTCCTGGAGTTTCTCTCTTACTAAAGTTTTCTGTTGTTGCTCATCCTCCTAGAACATTTAGTCAACATTTACATCATGTCCACATTAAGGTGTCTGCTAATGTGCATGTGAATGTGTGTACCTGTTGTAGTGTGTCAGTCAGATGTCTGAGTGTGTCTTCCTGCGTCAGACCCAACAGATCTTCATCTGCCTTCCGACTCTGGACGATAGCCAGTCGCTCTTGAACCTGAACAGACGGAAACACAATTCAGTTGTCAACCATAAACTTATTTTATATAGTTTTTTCCTGCCCTTAAAGTCAACTTAAAATCAAAACAGATCCTACTTAATTCAAATTCCTGGTCTTGTTGTGCACAATTCATCATTGCATGTTATTCCAATCATTTTTTCTAACTGAATATTCTATTGCACCCAAAAATGTCATTTGGAAAGTAAGATGGGTTATGAATGTGAAAAAGGTCCAAAAGCAAAGTATATGGCCTTTTTTACTAAATATTTCACATATAAAACACATGGAAGCCCGTTTCCAACAAGCTTGCACTGGTAAATCCTGATTATGACATAAAACGTAGACATTATGAGCTACTAAGTCACAATTGGGTCAGTATCACTGTAGGGTGCCTTTTGGCGTCCTGTACATAACTCGTTTGCCATGATAACTTTACATAAAAATGACTATGAAAGGGTGTGTTATATTAGACTAAGTTTTTATCCATCCCTTTAGTGACATCAGGAGAACAGATTATTCAGTCTCTTCAGTGGCGGGAATTTCAACAGCTGAGGTGAGTAAATTGGTGACATTTCAATTGACAAATTTTCTTCGTCTTGAGTTTGCTTACTTGCTTTGCCAAAGCTTAACATGTCCACCCTGTCGGCATAAATTGAGGATGTAATTTTATGATTTATTATTATTATATAATTTTTTTTCTAAGTTGAATAAATGTTTCATTGACATATTTTGTCATGTTTTGTGTGTTCTGCATGATGTCCACCCCGTCATGTGCTGGTCCACCCTGTCATCTTGATATTTTGCAATAATATTTCAAATAATAATTCAATAATATCTATATAATCCAGTGTGTTCAATAGCTAGGTGTGGGGGCAATAATATCACAGTTTTCTCCAAATAAGGAAAAATGCATGTGCGAATTGTATGAGTTTTTAAAAACACATGGTTTACATAACATTTTTTTTAATGTATTTATAATTTGAAAGCAGACAAATAACCCTGTTTAGGAAAGGGACATCATACCTTTCAGAAAATATAATTTGCATCTTAATATTGCAATGAAAACGTATTTAACAGTAATATATATATGTCCATGACAGGGTGGACATGTCTTATGGTTTATGCTTCGAATAACGGCCCATAATTATCTAAAAAAAAAATGTGTGGGAGCTCAGCTAATATGTTTCTATAGTACATGAGTGTCTACTATTTATGACATGACAAAGCGAATGTGAAAATATTTGAGTATTGAGAGGGTTGAAAGGCACTCTATGGTGATATTGACCCAATTATGATATAAAAAAAATCTAAATACATGCTGTATTATGACAAGTCAAAATTATGGGAGACAAAAGTAATAACTGACAAAGTAAAGATTATAAGAAGTCATAATTATGAGATAAAAAGTCACAGTTATGAAGTCATAAGAATGTAAACTTTTAATCATAATTTCAACTGCAATTCTCAATTTTTTTAATTTACCTCCTAATTATGACTTCCATGTATCTCAAATTTGGACTTTTTTAATCCCAAAATTGTTTTGTCATAACTCCAACTATTTGACGGAATTATGGCTTTATATCTCATAATTTCAAATTTGTCCCAAAATTAGACTGACTTGATCTCAATTTCAACATTTTATAATTCAAATGTATAATTCATTAAAATCTCATATAATTTCATGATGATATAAGTTTTTGTCATGATGATGATTTAGCAAAGCATTTTTTTTTTTTTGTTCTATAATTACTCTGTAACAAGGACACCTTAAAATAAAGTGTAACCTAATTACTTTGTACCTGCAAAGTAGTAGTAAAATTCATATATTTTGAAAGTATTACTAGCATATTGGGGGCACTTCAAATACATATTTTATATCACAGGGGTTCAGATAACAAAAAAAGGTTGATATCCTCTGATTTAACTTCCTGATATCACATATTATTCATTACAGATAGTATGCAAATAGCAGAGAACAGAGAGACTGTATTATGAGTCAAAAGGGAAGCTAGAGATGGAGCAGAAGTAATTTGAAGTGATTGTCTTACTGTGATGAAGCCTGAACGGTCTTCTTGGATTTGTGTCTTTCCTTTCACACTATCTGTGTGATCTGAATGCGTTTCTTCATATTGTTCACTTGGCTGCAGTGAGACGGAGCTTATGTTCTCCTGCTGTGTGTAAATGTTCACATCATGTGGAGCTGTTTTATCAGCTGTCTCCTCCTGCACTACAATAGAGACGGCCTCTACTTCCTGTTGAGCTGAGGTCACTTCCTGCAGAATTAAACCTTTCTATGTATGAATGAACAATTTGAGCTGATTTAAGATAGAAAGAGTGCATATGTTTGTGTGTATGTACCTGAATGTGGTTCTCTGCGTGGGCTGCTTTGCTCCAGGCCAGTGTGATCAGAGAGTTTTGTTTCTCCACTGAAATCACCTGAGGGTCTCCTCTGCTCTCAGTGTGTCCCTGTCTTCTCTCTCCATCTCCATCTCTCGTCTCCATCGTGCTCTCTTCATCTCTTGGGTCTCTGACACACAAGATCTCCAAATATGGAGTATCTTCTGGATCTATAGCCATCCCGCAGCCTTCGAACACAAAAATGCAAAATCACAAGATATTAAGCAGCTCAACTGTTTTCAACATTAACAGTAATAATAAATGTTTCTTGAGCAGCAAATCAGCATATTAGAACGATTTCTGAAGAATCAGGTGGCAATGAAGACTGAAGATCAATGAATGATGCGGAAAATTCAGCTTTGCATCACATGAATAAATTACATTTTAAAATGTATTTAAATAGAAAACAGTTCTTTTTAATAATTAAATTCTTTTAAATAATATTTCACATTATTACAGTTTTTTTTCGGCATTCTTTTGAAATCCAGACTGACCCCAAAATTTTAAAGGGCAGTACAGTATGTGTGATTAATCTTAGTAGTTTTAATGTTAAAACACTTTCTCGTATCACTGTTTAATGCTTAATTTTTAAGGTATTATATGAATTATCTGGCATATAAATGTTTGTCGTTTACCAGTGCAGAGTTCTTGTTTTTCACCATCTGATGGCTCTTCTTGTCCCTGTTCAGTCCTCTCTCTCTCCTAAAACAGACAAAGAAAAGAGTTACTCACATTGCATTCCTTTCAATTGAATACCTAGATAATCTCTTCAAGCAAAGTTTCTTCAACAGTTTCTTGGTTCAACAAAGAAGTTTCTATATATCAAGAGCCATTTCTCACTAGAAAGGATTCTTGAAGAAACAAGATTCTCTGGATATTATAAAAGTTCTTTATGTTACACTTTAGGCTCTTCATCATTGCATGCATTGTTAAAAATAAAGGTTTTTATTGGCATTAATGGTCCCATGAAGAACCTTTAACATCCATTATTTATAATGTTACAAACAATTTATATTTCAATATTCTTTTCTTTTGAACTTTCTTTTCATCATAAATTCCTGAAGAAAAACATATGGTTTCCACAGAAATATTAAACTATTTTCAACACTGATAATAATAAGAAATGGTTTTTGAGCAGCAAATCAGCATATTAAAATGATTTCTGAAGGATCATGTGACACTGAAGACTGGAGTAATGATCACAGGAATAAATTTTTAAAAGAAAACAGTTCTTTTAAATTGTAATAATATTTCACAATATTACTATTTTTACTATATTTTATATGAGCACCAATCATGGTTTTTTCATTCCAACCAAAATCCCTTGAACTTATAACACAACATGCTGTAACTTCTGAACTCACAAATAGGAATTTGGAAGACTTGAAGGCACCAAATGTCCTGTATATGTGCACACATTACCTGTTGTGCGCAATTTCCTGTTTTCCAGCCCTGCTGTGTTTTAGCAGTGGGATCCAGTTTTTCCTGAAGCCAGATCCTGGCGAGATCCTGACTGACTGAACCTCTCATATAAGGCCTAGAGCACACACAGATGGTTTGGATTCAAGCTTGCACACATCGGAGGGAAAGTAGGTGGACGTGTCAGCATGTAATGTTTTAAATACGGATGATGTGTCCACTTCCCATATTTAACACGCTCACCATCTGTCCCAGTGCTGTCTAGCGACCAGCAGTGCAGTGTAGGACTGATTCTCTTTCTCGGCTCTCCTCACAGCGACACACATACTGAGATATATAACACGCAGAGCTTCCCGTCCCAATCTGCAGGAGCAGTAAATCACAACACAACATCTGCAACCATTAGCATGTTTAATACTACAGATTGATATTGACATTAAAAGGTCGTGCTTAACTATGCCGGTATATGACTGTCAAAGTTTCTAGTTATGCATGCTCATATTTATTATGTCATAGAGTGTTGAAGGAAGGACATATTTTTCTAGGCTAAAACCAGTAAATTAGTTGTTTTAGCACTTCCGGTTCCATTGTCGCAAAGTCAGTGGATTTCTTGAATGTTTTTTAATTAAATGCGTGATCTGCGGTTAAAACAAGCTCAAGCTATTTTCACATTTTATTCTTCGATATAAAATACATCAGTAATACACAGTGTTAGGGAAAGTTACTTTTAAAAGTAATGCATTACAATATTGCGTTACTCCATAAAAAAGTAACTAATTACGTTACTTAGTTACTTTTTATCACACTAACTTCTGGGTTGGCCTACAAAAATGCGTCATCGCTGCAACACTACATTGCCTTCAAAATGGATTCTCAGAGTTGCCACTAGGGGCGCTATTGTAGGCAAAACCATAAATTTTCTTCTTCTATGGTTAGTTAAGGTCATCATGTGTCTGGACTAAATCGGCTTTATCTGAGATATTTGAGACTTACTGATGCTTTAAGCCAATCACATGCATTTATGAGAAATCATCAACCAATAAACACAATAGAATGACCTGTTCATGAGTGCGCTGATCGACTCCTTCTCATCCTGATAATGTGACTCCAGCTCTGACAGGAAGATGACAGCGGACCAAGCCTGTTCCCTCGATTTAGATGACCAAGCCTGATCTCTAGGTTTAACACTCTCAGCACAGCCTTGCAAGACCACAGAACCACAGCTCCTGCCATATTCATCAAACTGAATTAATGTAAAATGTATCTGAACCACAGCTCCTACCATATTCATCAAAAATAATGAATAATGTATTTGGTAGCACTTAATTGAAGCTTATATATATATATATATATATATATATGCATATAAAAGTATTTTGGTAACACTTTACAATAAGGTCCCGTTATTTAACGTTAATTTTAACATTAGTTAATGCATTAACTAACATTAACAGTGAGCAATACATTTATTACAGTATTTATTCATCTTTGTTACTGTTAAAATAAAATAAAAGTACAACAATTCATTGTTAGTTCCACTGAATAATATTAAGAGATACAACTTTTGGTTTTAATGTTTTAGTAAATGTTGAAATTAACATTGTTTAATAAAATACATTTCATGTTAAAGAGTGCATTTAACTAAGTAAAACTTTGTGTTACTATTATTTTTAATGCGTCATGCCTCATCATGCATCTTATAATAGATTGTATGATCTCATGAATAATTGTAACCACAGTTATAAAACATAACACTTATCTATCATTGTTGTTACACCTTTGAAAAGTATAATGCATCAAAACATTGATATACCAAATATATAATGGAAGACTCAAATGTCAGCAACTGCACATACAGATGCACAAATAACTAATGTAGTACTAATGTAATGTACCTGTAGCACCGGAGGGCCCCGGGAAGCCCACACACCTGAAGCCAGTCTCTGTGTCTGAAAGCCAGCTCTACACACACTCCTAGTTCACACACACATTCTGTCTGATCCCATGCCGACATCGAGTCCCACCAAACAACACCTGTAATGATGTGTGATAAGATACTGTTAAACTATTCTGTGAAAGGGAGCGTTTATGAACTCAGAATATCTGTTACCATACTCATCCTGCAACATCTCTCTGTACAGTCGCTCTCTGATGACCTCATACTTGTAGTCCAGGAGCTGGAGGATGTCAGTAGTGCTGGGACAGATCTTGCCCGCTCGCATGATGCCAGTGTTCTTCTGAGAAAGAGACAGTAGGACACTCCACACGCCGTCAAGAACGAGTCTGAACCGAAAGCAAGAGGAATATATGCTGATTTTATTCAATGGGATTGTGAGCAGCTGAATGAAAGAGTGTGTGCTTAAAGTGACCTGGTGTAGAGTCTCTTGGCTCTGTTCTGAAGACACAAGATACTAAACTGCTCTGGATCCTGCTCCCAGAAAAAAAAAAACAATCACAAAAGATGCACACATACATTTAGCAGATACCGTTCTCCAAAGTGATTAACAAATGAGTGAATGAGCTAAAATAGAGTGCAAAGCTGATTAACTAAAAACATACAAAATAATACTAATTATATATTAATATAATACAATATAATATAATACAATACAATATTATATTATTATATGACTTGGTTTTCTACCTGTTGCCTGGAGCTGAAGTTGATTGTTGAGGATTGTGTGTTTTGTTTATGATCAATTCTACCAGCCTTCAACATCTGGAGAGCCCAGTACAGCTACAGAAAATATAAGCCATCCACATCCTTGAATTTGCAACAATATAACTTCACAATTTATATAATATAATATAATTTCACAAATTGACATGATTTTCGAATTTAAGCACCCAAAAGACCCAAAAATTACAAGCATGTTTTTTGTTAAGATTATTTCCTTCAATCCTAAAACACAGCACAATGAAATGCACAATTCAAAATGCAAGTAAAATACCTGTGAAAAAATCCTTCATATTAACATGGTACATTGCAACAAATTTTTTTAGTTTTTTTTTTTTTTACAATGAAGTTATTTCTTAATTTAGATTTAGTATAAATAAGAAAAAATATATACATAGTCAGAAATAAAGAGAAATACTGTATAGACAGTAGGGATGGAACGATTACCGGTTTCACGATAAATCACGATAATTGACAAAAGACCTCTTCTCTGTTCTCACGTTGTTTCTCCATCACTAAGAGAACATGCAGAACTCCTCGGGCTGAACATGACAAGCCTCCAGTCTGACCTCTGACCTGAACACATCACACAAAACATTTCTCTTTCTGCTTCTTTTCTGTCTCACTCTTCTCATTCATGAGATTCTGAGACAGCAGAACATCTTGTTCACCTGTGCAATGGCTCTCTTTGTCTCGTCCAGGCCGGCGGTGATGAGGAAGACGCTCTTATAGAGGGAACAGATCATGTCCACGCCGACCTCATCATCCTCATGTACACCCATCGCCTCACAGACCAAATGAAAACACTCTTCCATCCTAAAAAAGACAAAGTACTTCATGTAAGCTCGATTTCATCGTCCCAAATGCCTTGAAATGAAAAAAAAAATTATATCTATATACTGCACACACAATCATCATAATAAAATGAGTTCTTGCCGTACTTCATAATCAAATTTTTAATATAACAGATAGTTTTACCTTATATAATTTAAACATGAAATGAGAAAGTGTCTCACCTGTTCAGCGAGTTGATCTTCATGAATGATGCATGATTACAACAAAGCCACGTCTGTTGCCGAGGAAACCGTTCGAGTCAGATTACAGAAGAGGACCTTCAGCTCAGCGCTGACCACACTCTTCCTCAGACAAATCATGACACTCATTTAGTGACGATACTTAAACACTAAAAAGCCTGGCTGAATCCAAGATAGATAGCTACTTATGATAGACTTGAAATTTTTTTGGTTAAATTTGACCATTTAGGATTTTTATTTAGTATTTTTTTTTCATTCAAGATTTATTTTTTTAAATAGCAACCAAATATTTTAAGACTATAAACAATACAATTATTAAAATTATATAACCACGTCATGTTTACTGTAAATCAAAATTAAATTTGAGATGTTTTTAAATTAAATGTTTTTAATGTGTGTTTATCTAGCAAAAAAATGTAGCAAAATTTGGTTGCTTTTTTGTACTTTTTTTTTTTTTTTTTTTACATCCGGTGACTTACATGATGGCAAAAAAATAATAATAATCCTCCAACAGTTCATATTCAAATAGTGTCAAACAAATATGAAAATGACTGGTAGAAAAAAAAAAGTATTGCACTTTTCTTTTACTGTTTTTCACTAAAAGGGTAATGTGAATAAACCAAATAAGAACAAACACAGGCTGGGTAACAGTGGGATTTTGTGTAATAACGTGACACAGTAAATATGAGAATACAATGTTTATGACAATGTCATACACAAAAACTGACGTTTTACAGAACCTGAGAATGTCAATGCATCTGATGAGTATAACAATCATAACTCAAAATAATCCTGTGAAGGCAGTTAGATTTAGCTCGTGTTTCTATTTTTATTTAGATTCATTGTCAGTGTTGCAAACGAAGTGTCTTTATAACATATTGCTTATGAAACTATGTATTTTAAGAGAGTAACAATATATTTAAATCACAATACCAGTGCAACAGCCAAAAAAGCCCTATCAAAAACAGTGCAGATAAAATTATGCAGATTTGCAGATCCATATTGTTCAACTCATATTAATTTCTTTCAAAATATCAAATTAAAGAGGAAAACTCCAGAAAAGCAACTTATGGCATGCTAAAAAAAAAAATCATAATTCATAAAAAAAAAAAAAAAAGCAATCATTATTATTAAAAAAATGCTTTTTCCTCTTTGTACTCTTGTTCTGTGGTGACGAAAAAGGAGTTAAACTTTGTCCATCCTCCTATCAGTGGAAGGACGTAAAAATTAGCTCCATGAAGCACAGGTTAACACAGTGTCCTATAATCAGTCAGAAACACTTACACACAGTAGCACCAATAAAACAATTCAACAAAACAACTAAATGCAGTATACAGTAGAAGACTGTTTATGTGGTTTGAGATATAAAGTAAAACTTAAATGTGCTTTAAGTTCAAGCATTTTAAAGTCAACACAAAACTCTATTCGTTCTGTGGTGACAAAAAAGGAGTTAAACTTTGTCCATCCTCCTATCAGTGGAAGGACGTAAAAATTAGCTCCATGAAACACAGGTTAACACAGTGTCCTATAATCAGTCAGAAACACTTACACACAGTAGCACCAATAAAACAATTCAACAAAACAACTAAATGCAGTATACAGTAGAAGACTGTTTATGTGGTTTGAGATATAAAGTAAAACTTAAATGTGCTTTAAGTTCAAGCATTTTAAAGTCAACACAAAACTCTATTCGTAATTCGGGGAAGCCCGTTTCCATCACAGGTTAAAAAATTACAAGTTTTGACATTTTATCTCTTAATTCTGACTTTTTTCTCGCAAATCTGAGAAAAACAGTCAGATTTGTGAGCTACAAATTCAGACTTGCGAGACAAACTAAAAAATCTGACTTTTTTTCTTGCAATTCTGATATTTTTCATCTCATTATTCGAACAATTTTTCTATGAATTCTGAGTTTACAAAAGAGTCTGAATTGTTAGATTAAAAAGCACAATTACCTTTTTTTTTTTCATCTGTTGCGGAAACAAGTGTCCATAGTAATTTGATGTATTTCTGAGTGAAACAGGATATTTGTTTTAATAATTTTTAATGTTACAAAAAAATTATTTGAAATAACGTACACTAATAAATCTTATAGTGTAAGACCAGGAATATGAATTAAAAAGAAATAAAGCAAATTCTGATTTTGTTTTGACTTAAAGAGCTTGTTGTGGTTCATCAGATCTCAGTTTTAGCTGGTTTGACTCCACGTGATGTTTGGTAGAGTTTGTGGGTCTCAGAGATTGCCTTGGATAATTTTCGGGCATTTCTCGGGGACGATGCAGTGAGCGTTGTGTTCCACCAGGCCAGCGGGACACTGGCATCCCGGCACACAGGGTTTGAAGCAGTGAGCCTCGATCACGCCAAGTGGCACGTCTTTGTTAAAACACGTCTTAGGACACGGCGGCCCGCATTCATCAAACACATAACCACGGTCAAGCGGACAGCCCACGGCTGTAGGGATGAAGGAGGGAAAGGATGGAGTTAAACTAAAGCACAACAAATATCAAATGACTTTCCCTTATACAAACATAAATACATAACTACATGTACATGTCCTTACATTTTAATATATTGTGTTAATATACACTGCTCAAAAAAATTAAAGAAACACTTTTTAATTAGAGTATAGCATCAAGTCAGTTAAACTCCTGGGATATTGATCTGGTCAGTTAAGTAGCAGAGGGGGTTGTTAATCAGTTTCAGCTGCTTTGGTGTTAATGAAATTAACAACAGGTGCATTAGATGGGCAACAATGAGGCGACCCCCAAAACAGGAATGGTTTTACAGGTGGAGGACACTGACATTTTTTTCCCTACTCATCTTTTCAGACTGTTTTTCACTAGTTTTGCATTTGGCTAGGGTCAGTGTCACTACTGGTAGCACGAGGCGATACCTGGACCCTACAGAGGTTGCACAGGCAGCCCAACTCCTCCAGGATGGCACATCAATACGTGCCATTGTCAAAAGGTTTGCTGTGTCTCCCAGCACAGTCTCAAGAGCAAGGAGGAGATTCCAAGAGACAGGCAGTTACTCTAGGAGAGCTGGACAGGGCCGTAGAAGGTCCTTAACCCATCAGCAGGACCGGTATCTGCTCCTTTGTGCAAGGAGGAACAGGATGAGCACTGCCAGAGCCCTACAAAATTATCTCCAGCAGGCCGGTGTCATGAATGTCTCTGACCAAACAATCAGAAACAGACTTCAAGAGAGTGGCCTGAGGGCCCGACGTCCTCTAGTGCTAACTGCCCGGCACTGTGGAGCTCGATTGGCTTTTGCCATTGAACACCAGAATTGGCAGGTCCGCCACTGGCGCCCTGTAGTGGGTCCTGGTGACAATGCCCGGCCTCATGGGGCGCGAGTATGCAGGCAGTTACTGAAGGATGATACCATTGAATGGCCCCCACGCTCGCCTGATCTAAATCCAGTAGAACACCTCTGGGACATTATGTTTCGGTCCATTCACTTTGATTTTTGGGGTGTCTTTGAATTCAGCCCTCTGTAGGTTGATAATTTTCATTTCCATCAAATGATGTGGCATCCTTTCGTTCCTAACACATTATCCAGTCCATATCAGTATAGATATCCAGCATGATATTTTTCCCCATTGAGATCTGATGTGTTTTCAAAGTGTTCCTTTAATTTGTTTGAGCAGTGTATTATAATATATTAATACAAAGAATTGTCGCTTTTTTGAATTATTGAAAAATGTGTGACAATCTACACCACCGGTCAAAAGTTTTAAAACAGTAAGATTTTTTAAATATTTTTGAAGTAGTCTCTTCTGTTCAGTTGTGTGCAATTTCAGTTTCAAAAGAACAGCATTTACCTGAAATAGATATCTTTTGTAACATATATTTTTATATGTATCAATATACAGCTATACAGTACGTGGCCTATGCATATATTGCAGTATACTGAAAAACATAAGCACCAACATACTGTATTATGTTTTCCAGTATATTGTTTTATTTCATAAGGGTCAGCTGTGCAGCTGTACAGAAGACAAATATCATTATTCAGCTCAATTTAGTTCAATATTGATTCAGTTTATTCAATAACAGTGTCAATGTTGCAATATTCATCATAATTCAGCTATAAAGCAGCTCTACAGAAAACAATAGTATTATTATTCAGTTCAAGTCAGTTCAGTGTTGATCCAGATCAGTTTCAAAGTTGCACTGTACTTTATGTGTATTTGTCACTCACCGCAGAGTGTCGGCGACCTCCACTGCAGGATAACTCCAGCCTCACGGCACTCAGACGCGTAAGCCTCCAACACGTCACACAAACACTCGTCTATATTGGAGCCGCAGGCACACAGATCATACACACACGAAGCATAGAACATCTCAGGTGGCACCAGCTTATGACAGCGCTCAAACACGGGCGACTTCAGCACTGCGCAGTGAGCGTTCGCAGTCTTACGGGCCGAGTATCCTGCTTCTTTACACGGTTGAATGTTTATCGCATCAGGACACTGAACACTTGGATTTCCACTGCCCACCTGCAAGGAGATCAAAGTACATATAATTTAACATTCATGTGAAATACATGAATCCCACATATCAATAAGCAAGCACAGCATGAAGATGTTTTAGCGTCTTAACCTTCCAGTTGTTTCCAAACACTGCTTCAGAGCTGGCGATTTGTCCATTGCGTAGTTTCATGTCGTCCTGAGGGTAGTTATTGAAGTTGCCGCATAAACCACACATGTGCTTCTTGTAGGTACCAGGAACACTGACTTCCAGATGAGAACGACCATTCCACAACACCTTATATCACAATCAGCAAATAAACACACAAGTGTCATCATGAAATTCATATAAAAACATTACGAATAAATCCTATAGGATATATTTCCTATAGGAGACTGAACACAGAGTGAATTCATGCAGAGGCTGTACCTTCAGCCCAACATTGGTGTTCAGGAGGATGGTGTTGGTCTTGCGCTCCAGGTAAACATACGGTTCTTTAAGAAGCGGCAGAGAGACTTGCTGATAATCAACCTGAGGCATGGACAAAAAGAAAAAAAAAGATTTATCTGTATGTCATGTGACCATTAACCTACGTCATTATAATGTAAATATGCGCATATGTTGTTAAAGGGGTCATATGACGTTGCTAAAAAAAGAACATTATTTGGTGTATTTGGTGTAATGAAATGTGTTTATGCGGTTTAAGGTTAAAAAAACACATTATTTTCCACATACTGTACATTATTGTTTCTCCTCTATGCCTCGCCTTTCTGAAACGCGTCGATTTTTACAATTGAAACAGTAACTGATACTATTTTAGGCAAAAAAGGGAATAGTGAGCATTCAAATAAATTATAAAAACATTTCAAAATGTACAAAATACCATATTCATGGTAAACAATGAAAAAGTTTAAACAACATTGTAAAACCTATCACCTTGACAATCCAGTCCTGAAACAGCTGTACCACAATATCTCCAATAAACACGGTCACTTCTTTAGTCCAAGACACTCCCTTACGTCCCCGGTCCTCATTATACACATGAACACTGGAACACAAACACAAGTGTCTGTTCAGACTATGTACATATGGACTACACTTTTTAAATCTCTTTTTAAAATAATGTTGCTAACTTGCATTTTTATTGCATTATTTGGGATCGGTCTCATGCTCACACTAATTTGATTAAAAAATACAGTAAAAACAGTACTATTGTGAAACAATATTCTGAGAAAAAAAGTCAGAATTGCCCGTTTATATCTTGCAATTCTGACTTTGTAACTCGCAAATGCAAGTTTATATCTCAATTCTGAGAAAAAAAAGTCAGAATTATGAGATACAAGGTCACAATGACCTTTTTTATTTTTAATTCAGTGGCAGAAAAAGGCTTTCATATTTTTCTATTTGAATGTATTTTAAAATGTAACTCATTTCTGTGAAGCAAAGCTGAATTTTCAGCACCATTACTCCAGTCTTCAGTGTGACATGATCCTTCAGAAATCATTCGAATATGCTGATTTGCTGATCAAGAAACATATCTTAATATTATCAATGAAAACAGACATGCTGCTTAATATTTTTGTGGAAATTGTGATATTTTTCAGAACAAAAAGTTCAAAAGAACAGCATTTATTTCAAAGATTTTTTGTAACATAAATGTCTGTACTGTCACTTCTGATCAATTTAATGCATCCTTGCTGGAACAAAAGCATTCATTTCTTTTTTTAAATCTTACTGATATGATATGATTGAGACAATATACTGAGCACCTGAAGTCTCCGCCCTCACAGTCCTGAGCCAGAACATATGTGCACTTCCCCTGGAAGTTCACCATCTTTCCATCAAACGTTCGGTAGTGAGGGTCTCCAAACACAATGCAGGTGGCAGGGTGAGGAATGCAGTGAGGACAACACATTCCCGGAACCAGAGCCGGCGTTTCATCCTACAAACACACAAATGTAGGATACATTCAGCTCAGATACTATTCAAAAATATCCTCACTAATACATTAAAACCTGTCAAACACCGACTTGTGAGTTTCAGTAGGTTTGCATCTATGTGAAGTCCTCACTATTATATAGTATCCTCAAAGGTGTATTGTCATCCTACCGAGGCACACGTGAGCGTTGGGCATCTCTGGGTCTGGCAGTGCACTTCTCCATACACACAGGTGCAGGACGTACACTCGTCCACTTCCCAGTGGTCATTGTGGTTGTACCGCTGACCATCGTACACACACTCTGCATGAGCGTCTTTGGAGTAAACCACAGTTATGATGCCTGTGCACTCAGGACAGCACTTCCCAGGGTTCTTCACTTTGATCGATCCATTCGGACAATCGAGAGGAGGACACTCCTGCAGATCACACTCGATATGCCCTTGCTAAAACACACACACACACACACACGGGCACACACATACACACACATTACTTAAAAAATGTGCTTAATACTCCATTATGTTTTTTTAAAGGGCTAATGGTGTGATTAAAAGCATCAAAACAATTTCCTAATAAAACTGACACAATTTGATTTGAGATGTTCCATCAAATAAAAAAAGTCAAAATTTTAGTTTACCTTAAATTTGTGATGAGCTTTTGTCTTTTTATTTTTTAATATTTCTATTTAGCTTTCATTTATTTTTATTGCAATTTTAGTTATTTTAGTACTTTAAAACCCTCATCCGTCCCTCCCGAACCTATAACAAAAGTGTCCCTCATGGGTCAAAATGACCCGAAGGCCAAAAATGACACTAATTTTATTTTTGGTCCAGAAAGCTTATATTGGTCCATTTTTATATATTTTTTTCAAATTTTTTATGTAGGTTTTTTAAAAATATTTTTTTGGTGATTTTTATTTTATTCACATTAAATTCTGGATATTTTTATGGAAATTTGCATAGTTTTATACATTTTTTCCAGATATATATCAAAACATTAAAAAAAAAAACTATATTTTGTAAAAAAAACAAAAATTTAAATTGATACTGAATTTTATCCAAACACATGCATATTCATAGTTTCATAAATATGTAATAAATAAAAAAGACAAATGTAAAAATATAAATATGATATAAACTCATTGGTCTCCACCCCATCACTCAAATTTAACTGTGTTAAGTAAAAAAAAAAAATCAAAATGACAGTCATTTCCCAGCAGAAACATCATAAATGCTATAATGTGTTTCAATGGGAGGGTGTGTGCCATGTGTGTGTTTGTGTGTGTGCGGGTATGTGAGTTTGTTGTGCATTGGGGAGATTCTGCAGCCTCAGCCCTTTGTTTGGGTATGCATCTTTTCTGGATTGTGTCAGATTTTATATAGTAAAAAAATCAAATAAAGACATTCCATTCATTCCTATGGCCAGGTCAAAATGACCCGCGAGGGACACTTTTGTT